AAAGAAACATACGAGAATATGCAGTTTCTCTTAAAAAAAATTCACTACGAAAGATATAAGTGGAAAATTTGTGGTGACCTAAAAGTTATTGCAATTTTACTAGGCTTACAACTTGGTTACACGAAATATTGTTGCTTCATCTGCGAGTGGGATAGCAGAGACAGAAAATTACTTTACTTGAAAAAAGATTGGCCACAACGTAAAGCACTCGTTCCTGGAATCAAAAATGTCCTCTTCCAGCCTTTGGTCGATCCTAAAAATATTCTTTTGCCACCTCTGCACATTAAATTAGGACTTTTTAAAAATTTTGTTAAAGCCATGGATAAAAATGGTGGTGGTTTTACTTATTTGAAGCAAAAATTTCCTAAAATAAGTGAGGCAAAGATTAAGGAAGGTATTTTTATTGGGCCACAGATTAGAGAACTGCTGAAGGACTCGGAATTTCAACAGCAATTGAGTTCAACAGAAATTAACGCGTGGAACTCATTCAAAAATGTAGTTGAGCATTTTTTAGGAAATATGTTAGCTAAAAATTATCGCGATCTGGTGGCTAATCCAATTGATTCATACCAAAAAATGGGCTGCAATATGTCTTTAAAACTTCACTTCCTACACTCTCACCTGGACTTTTTTCCACCAAATCTTGGCGCCGTTAGTGATGAACATGGTGAGCGTTTTCACCAGGATATTTTACACATGGAAAAACGCCACAAAAGAAATTTCACTAACATGTTAGCAGATTACTGCTGGACACTAAAAAGGGACTTACCAGATGCTTAATATGCGAGAAAAACATAAGTAAGTACCATTTTTTAAATTCACGATTTATTTGCTGAAACCCCTTGAATCACCCGTTAATCTGGTTGTCTAAAGAAAACTAGACGTGATAGAAAAAATCTAAGTCCAGATTTGGAATCAGCACGCAAAATACCTCTAGGATCACTCAATAACATATCTAGGATAAAAAAAAAATTTTTTTTTGTTGACCTGTGTTTTCAACTAAATTTTTATATAAAAGCAACTTATTATATTTGTTAACTTTGTTTTTCAATATAATTGTTGTTAAAACAACTCATACTCATACTCTTTACATTTAAATTCTTTTTTTATAACTTTTCAAACTGCAAAAAAAATTAAAAGCATAAAAATGCTTTTAATGGATATACACAATATATATGAATACACACAACTTCTTTATTTACGATTCAATGTCAATAACAAAAATCATTTACAAAAATTTTGTGTTTTGTATTAATGTATAACATATAATTGTACTAAAATTATCAAATATTACAAATTATAATAATATAGTTTATTGAAATAAAATATTATTTTAAAAACTTTTATTTTAAACAAAAATTAAACTCATAAGTACATACTATGCATAAATCATGTACTCATAGCATCAAAATATCAAACAAACAAAAAACAAGTATACATACAGAATCGAAATGCTTTCAAAAACCAATACAAAATGAAAGTGATCTAATTTTTTGGTGCAACGCTTTGCTTTGCATTTTATGCAAAGACTTTGCAGTGAAATTTTTATTTGCAAAGTGCAAAGTAAATTATGTTAAGTCTTTGGTGCAACGCTTTTCACTTTTACTTTGCAAAAAAAAGTCACTCATAACTTTTGCAAAGTGAAAAGTGAAAAGTGTTGGTGCAACAGGGCCCAGGTTTTTCTGTAAATAATTAATAAGTTTTAAGACACAACACTGTATTCGCTCTTTAAATCGAGGATATTAATGGGAAAAAAAGCTTCTATGGTATTTCAAGAAAGTACAGGAAACCAGAATCGTGGAGGGTCACATATCCATAACTACTAATGTTCACACATTTAATTATTATATATTTATCTATATGTAAATATTATTATTGTAAAATTGTATTATTATAATTATTGCAAAATATCAAGATTTACACATTTGATTATTATAAATATATTTATCTATATATAAAACATTTATTGTAAAATTTGAACATATATGCTGATGTTAGCAATATCCAAATTTTGGCTTCCTTTGCATTATTTAATTTAGTGAAATGCAGTGGCACTGAATTGAATATTTGCATTATTTTTTTGTTAAGTGCAGTGGCACTGAACTTTGAATATGTAATATATGTTATATCAAAGCCAGTGCATTGGCATTAATTCTTGATTGCTAGACACAACAAAGAATTTGGTTGCATAATATATGCTGAGCTTGCACTTTGGGCAAAAAAATGGTAAAGGAAAAGAATAAAATTTAGATATTGTTATTGTAATAATTTGTAATAATTTAGTATATAAGGCTGAATTTAATTTAATAAAAATCAGGTTGAAATCAATATATGATCTCTCACTTTCATTTCTAGAGTTTCAGTTCAAGTGCTGAAAACTCAACTTTCAAAATAAAGAGTTACAGTTTAAGTGCTGTCAATTCATTTTCTTAAGTGTTAATTCACTAACATTTAATTTTGGTGACCCCGACGTGATTCAGGATCACGACTTGGTGAAAATTCATTATCAGGTGAATCGCTTGATAATTTAACACAAATTTGAGTAAAGGCGTCCTACGATCACTTCAACACAGGCTTTGGTGTCAGCATCAACAGAGGATAAATAAAACAATTTTAGTTTCATAAGGTGTGAATCAACAAATCAACTAACTGGATAATGGGTTTCAGTTCGCTAGTGGATCGCCAAAAAGCATTGGGCGACAAAATCAAGCAATTTATTGGTATTTGCAAAAAGCTTGGAAAACCTCGCAGAACTTCCCAATTCTACACAGACAAGATTCAAGAATTGCAAAGGTTGGGTGACGAATATCATGAAAATCATCAGGAAATCATGGCTTCAGTGGACAAGGTTGACGACCATGAATACTTGGTAAACAATGAGTATCAGAGTATTCTTAAAATGATTGTCGATTACAACAAGGTTCTAGAAATTGAAGCAATAGAGCTAGAAAAATGATCTTCAGCAAGCAATGGCACAATAATTGAGCAAAACAAACAGATAAATGATTCAAACATTCGGAAACTACTCCGAAATCAGAAGGCAGTCATACGTGTAATTGAAAGAACGATAGAAGGAATCATGGTCAACAGGCAAGTTGAACAACCATCTACATATTATTCTATAAAGGCAGCCAGTCTTGAAGGATATATGGACGATTCAACGGCAAATAACACAACGTTATGGGAAGCCAGCGACGGAAGCATCATTGAGGGCTACACACTGGAAATTATGATGCAACAACACTTGCATCATAATCAGGCAATTCGCAACTCAGGACAGACAGATTGCGATTTGCCTCTACCAAGAATATCACTACCAAAATATGATGGAAACTATATGCGGAGGGTAGAATTCAAGGACTTGTATATGGAATTGGTCCACAACACGGACATCAGTGACAGCAAAAAAATGCATTATCTAACTACATCATTGGATAACGAGCCAAAGGGGCTAATTAGACATCTTTCAGTAGTAGGAGAAAATTACAATATAGCCTGGGCTTTACTTACAAGTCGTTATGAAAATAAACGACTTCTGGTTACAACACTCCTAAATAAATTAATGGGACAATCCTCGATTAAAAGGGAGTCAGCACCAGCATTAAAATCTCTACACGATGCAAGCAAGAAATGCATACATGGTCTCAAGGGTCAAGGAGTTCCAGTCGAACATTGGGATGTTACCCTGGTACATGTCTTGCTGCGCAAGCTGGATGCAGAAACTCTAACAGCTTTCGAACAAGGGCTAACAGACAACAAACGTTTAATAACCATTGATGAATTGCTAAAATTTTTGGAACATAGATTTCAATCACTTGAGGCTAGGGGAAAAGGAGATTCATTATTCACTCGAACATGTGCTTCAGCTACAAAATTTGGTTTAAGTAAAACCTGTCAAATTTGCAATAAAAACGGTCACATGGTCTACGCTTGCAAAAAATTCGAGATGGCAAAACTATCACAACGATGGAATTGGGTTAAGGCGTTCAATTTGTGTGTGAACTGCCTCAGGATTGGACATCGAGCTGATGAGTGTAAATCCAGGCACTGCACCAAGTGTTCTAAAAAACATAACACTTTGATGCATAATCCAAAAGGGAATCAATACACAAAAGGTACTGTTCTTCAAGTAAATAACTCAACGCCTCAACAAACAGGTCAAGCTTCAGTTTCAAACCAATCATCAAATAAAATAACCCTTTTAACAAACAATATCAATAAGGAATCTAATTATGTCTTATTAGGGACGGCCAGAATAAGATTGCTGGCATCAAACGGAAGACAAATTGAATGCAGAGCAGTATTGGACTCTGGCTCTAAAATCAATCTCATAACAAACCACCTGTCAAAAAATTGGGCTGCAAGCCAAGGCCAACGCTTATGAGTATGGAAGGCGTAGGAGCAAATGAATCAAAAATACGTCATCAAACAATAATCCGAGTACAATCAACGTTGAACGAATTTGTAGCAGAGATGGATGCACATATCATACCAAAAATCGTTTCAGATCAGCCAATGCAGTATTTGAATATCGAATCCTGAGATATTCCAAAGGAATTAACTCTCGCTGATCCAGATTTTAACAAACCTGGCCGAATAGATTGCCTGTTAGGAGCAGAGATCTTTTTCAAGTTACTTATTGATGGTCACATAAAACTAGCAGGTAGTCTTCCAACACTTCAGAATTCTATTTTTGTATGGGTTGTAGCTGGCAATATTGAAACTTCAAATTCAAGCACGGCAACTTGTGGCATATGCATTACTAAGGAACTAGAAAAATCTATATTGAAATTCTGGGAATCAGAGAAAATTCCTGATTCAATTTCGGAACTCACAGAACACGAATTGCGTTGTGAGTCACATTTTTTTGCAACACGCTTTTCGAGGAAGTGATGGCAGATTTGTTGTGAAACTCCCATTAAAGAATCATCCATCAGTGTTACCAGATACAAAAGGAATCGCTTCAAAATCCTGATCTAAAGAATCAATATGTTTCATTTATGAGGGAATATGAAGCATTGAGACACATGACAAAATTCAGCGGTAGCGAAATAATATCTCCCCAATATTTCATCCCACACCACTGTGTGCTACGTCCAGACAGCTCAACATCAAAACTGCGAGTTGTATTTGACGCATCAGTACACAAATTATCAGGGCCATCACTAAATGACATAATGTTTAATGGTCCAAAAGTTCAAGACGAACTGTTTTCGATTTTGCTCAGATTTAGAATGCACAAATATGTTTTAAAAACTGATGTGGAAAAAATGTACCGTCAAATATGGGTTAACAAAGATGATCGAAATCGGCAACTCATAATGTGGCGAGAAAATCCCACAGAACCACTTAATTATCAGTTAAACACAATTACTTATGGCACAAGAGCAGCGCCATATTTAGCAACACGCTGTTTAACAAAATTGGCGGATGAATATCAAGGAAATTATTTATATGGTGCCACATCTTTAAAAAGGGATTTTTATGTTGACGACGGTCTCATAGGAGCTGATACCATCAACGAAGCGTTACTAATTCAACAACAATTAATAACGATTCTAGACAAGGCTGAAATGAAACAACCCAAAATTTTACATGGAATCGCTCCAGAAGATCAAGAAGTAAATCTCAATTTTGATTCCAAGGAAACCCAATTCACAAAGACGTTGGGTCTTTTATGGTTACCAAAGTCAGATTCATTTCGTATCAAGGTTAACATTCGAGAGCATAGTCACACAACAAAACGATCTATGAGCTTCGATTTGGCACACATATATGACCCCCTGGGTCTTATTGGTCCAATCTTGGTCACCGGTAAAATCTTGTTGCAAGGAGCATGGCAGCTAAAACTCGATTGGGATGATGATCTTCCGTCAGAAAGAAGGGGTAATACGTGTTGGCGGACGGCTAAGCTCTTCAAGACTGCAGTTTGATGCCATTAATCAAATAATTTTACCAATCAACGATCCACTAGTAAAGTTGGTGGTAGAAAAAATACATAAGGACAATTATCATTGTGGCGCTCAAGCATTGCTGGCACAAGTGAGGTAGCGTTTTTGGCCCCTCAAAGGAAAAAGCTTGATGAAAGCTGTAATACAACAATTCTTAAGATGCAGAAGAGCAAGGCCAATTGTGTGCAATCAAATCATGGGAAATTTGCCTGGACACCGTGTGCAACCAGCTCGACCATTTCTCAGCACTGGAGTTGATTATTGTGACCCAATATGGGTTCACTACAAAACAAGAGGTAAGCGTCCACAAAAGGCGTATATCGCTGTCTTTTGCTGTTTTGCAACCAAGGCCGTACACTTAAAACTTGTGACTGATCTTACCACAGATGCATTCATTGGAGCATTAAAACGCTTCATAGCAAGACGAGGATGCTGTAAAACGTTATACTGCGACAATGCGACTAACTTCGTTGGAGCGAAAAACAAGTTGCAGGAACTTACTGACATCATCTACGGTGATCGGGCGTGTGAATCAATCGCAGGAATGTGCAGTACGAAAGGCATAGAATTTCACTTCATTTCACCAAGGTCACCACATTTCGGCGGGTTATGGGAGGCAGCAGTAAAATCTGTCAAATATTTGCTGGTCAAAAATGTTTCAACAGCCTCACTTACATATGAAGAGCTTGAAACTGTCGTTATTGAAGTTGAAGCGATGTTGAACTCCCGACCCCTTATTCCTAGCTCATCAGATGCAAACGATTTGAACGCAATAACTCCAGGTCATTTTTTAATAGGTGAAGAAAACACTTCAAGCGTTGTTGTGCATGCACGTGACTCTAAAGAAAAATTACTTAAACGCTGGCAACTAGTATCAGAGCTAAAACACAGTTTTTGGCAGCGCTGGACTAAAGAGTGTCTAAGCGAATTACAACAGCGCCACAAGTGGAAGGGTCGAATCACCAACATACAGATCAATACGATGGTAATCCTTAAGGAAGACAATGTCCCAGTTCTGTAATGGCCTTTGGGACGCGTCTTCAAGGTTTACAAAGGCGAAGATGGTTTAGTGAGAGTTTGTGACATTCAAACAAAAAAGGGAGTATTTAAAAGACCGGTGCATAGATTAGCTCCATTTTTTCCTGAAGACGACAAATTAGAAGATCCAACCGTTGAAAAAAAGACTAAGTGAAAAATCGAATCAGAGCAGACTCAAGAAACTCCAAGGTCATCTCCCGTGTCGCTTATCGTAAACATTCCATTAAATCGCATCAGAAAACCTGAATCATTAGTCAATGGGATAACTCCAACAAAACGCTCATGTCTGAACCCCGGGTTGCTGCTCACCATTATTACTCTACTCATTTTGCCACTTGCACTATGTAGTCCCGTCAATACAACAAACTTCAACAACAAACCTGGCATTTATTTAGAGCAGCTTAAACCAGTAAAAATCATGTCTGCTGATTGGAAAATGATTGTATATTTTGACCTTTCCCCATACAAACAACAAATGAGTATTTTAGCTGATGGAACAAAAAGGTTGCACAATTTATGCGACAAGGCATTGGATACCACTGCTTGCAAGTTATTACTCAACTATTTTGACCGTATAACGGAGGAACTGCAAATGGAACTTAATCTTCTCTCTGTTAAAAAAAGGATACCAAGAGGAGCTATAGACATTGTCGGAAATTTTGCCAATTCATTGTTTGGTGTCCTCGACTCAAACTACGCGGCACAAATGTCAAGCACAACAAATGGTCTTAAAAGGAACGGCAATCATCTGGAACAACTCGTTAAAAACCAAACGTCACTTGTTGATTGAACAATCAATATCTTTAAGAAGAACCAATTAAACATGCATACCAAATTTGATGAAATTAAAAAGCTGTCGATGCAAATGCTCATGATGGTATCTAACCTGCAAAGAGTTCACTCATCAATTATGGACGTACTAATCGACAGTCGTCACGATAAAATAAATCCTCTTCTGCTGACTCCACAACAGCTTAGTGAGCAAATAATGATGATTAGGGCACATCTTCCATCACACCTAAAGTTACCTATCCACCACAATAACTTACTCGAAGTATATAGGCTCATGAAGGTCAACGGAATCCTGGCGAAGGGCCATGTCATTTTTTGCATCGACTTACCTCTCACGGATCCAAGAGAATTTCAGCTATTATATCTTGTTCCAATTGTGGCAGTTTTAAATAACACACTTTTCTCAATGAAACTTTCAACAGAATTTCTAGCCATCAATCCGCATCATGATGAATTTCGACCAATGACACAGCATCAAGTGGACGCATGCATACCGATAAGTGACGAAGAGTTATTGTGTCCAAACATACAAGCAACATTTCATGAATCATCAAACGTCAATAATTGTGAAATTGACTTATTCAACAATCAAGCTGACCCAAGATGCGATATGTATCAGCTCAAGGACACAACTGTATGGTATCAACTAAATCATCCTACTCAGTGGATTTACGCAACCATTAATAACATCAAAATGAATGCAGTATGCAACAAGAAAGCATTTCAATTAACTTTAGTGGGCAGTGGTTTGATTAAATTAGGACCTGAATGCATCATCAAAAATGAACACATTACGATTCAAGGTCATCAAAAAATGGTTACTTCAATGCAGGTTTAACCTATCTGTAGAATGGACAAAACAATATGCTAGCAATAACATCAGCGTCAAACCATTGTCACCCTCAATCCATGAGCTTGAACTTATTCAACGAAAATTGTCCCACATCCAGAGTTCCAGTTTCCCAACTGATGCTATTAGTCCAGGTACACATAACCAGCTACGTTGCATTAACATTGTTTCTAATAACATCAGCGTCAAACCATTGTCACCCTCAATCCATGAGCTTGAACTTATTCAACGAAAATTTGCCAACATCCAGAGTTCCAGTTTTCCAACTGATGCTATCAGTCCAGGTACACATAGCCTAATAACCAGCTACGTTGCATTAACATTGTTTCTATGTGTCGCTAGTGCACTATTATATATATGGCGAAAGCAGAAAATCACCCATCAAACACCTCCAATACTGATGCCACGACATCAACAGATGACCGAGGATACAGCATGTTGACTTGCAGCTTTCAAATAATTAGAATTGATGTTATCAATTCAAGGCGGGCAGCATGTTCACACATTTAATTATTATTATTGTAAAATTGTATTATTATAATTATTGCAAAATATCAAGATTTACACATTTGATTATTATAAATATATTTATCTATATATAAAACATTTATTGTAAAATTTGAACATATGTATATGCTGATGTTAGCAATATCCAAATTTTGGCTTCCTTTGCATTATTTAATTTAGTGAAATGCAGTGGCACTGAATTGAATATTTGCATTATTTTTTTGTTAAGTGCAGTGGCACTGAACTTTGAATATGTAATATATGTTATATCAAAGCCAGTGCATTGGCATTAATTCTTGATTGCTAGACACAACAAAGAATTTGGTTGCATAATATATGCTGAGCTTGCACTTTGGGCAAAAAAATGGTAAAGGAAAAGAATAAAATTTAGATATTGTTATTGTAATAATTTGTAATAATTTAGTATATAAGGCTGAATTTAATTTAATAAAAATCAGGTTGAAATCAATATTCGATCTCTCACTTTCATTTCTAGAGTTTCAGTTCAAGTGCCGAAAACTCAACTTTCAAAATGAAGAGTTACAGTTTAAGCGCTGTCAATTCATTTAATAAGTGTTAATTCACTAACAACTAATGTAAATCTAACTTCTTATGAAGATAAAATTAATTGACTTGCATAGATTCCTATCACGAATGTGAAGAGATCATTGTTTTTGGAAAACAGAATTTTAAGAATTTAATAAAAAAAATAAATGTAGTACATAATCTGCTTGGAATTAAGTCCTGTTTGACGGGGAAATAGAAACAAGAGAGGAATATTAAATATAATAGGATCAGGGCTTAAAGTTTTATTTGGTACTATGATAGTGAAGATGCTGAATATTATAATAAGGTGATAACGGATATAAATAATAATGAAGAGTTTATAAAAACAGAATTCAAAATTTATTCAAAATTTAAATGAACAAAACTTAAACATAAAGAAAAGTTTCGAAGATATACAGAACACTATCAATAAATTCATAAATAAACTTAACTCATTAATAGGAACAGTTAATGAAAATAGTAAAAATATGGCTATATTTGAATACATGCAAGAAATGGAATTAAAAATAGTAAGCAGATGTTTAGATCTTGAATTTGAATTAGAAAAGCTAATGGATATCATTTTATTCATACAACTAAAATTAATACACCCAACGTTATTGAGTCCAGTAAAATTTATTGATGTATTACTGAAAAGTAAAAATGAACCAAATCTTTTATATACACCTAGTTTGGAATCATACAGCCAAATTATAAAGTATTCTAAAATTAAAGCTTTTGAACGCAAGAAGGTCATAGTTGTAATAGTTCTAGTTCCATTTGTCAAAAAGGACATTTATGATACCTATCAGGTAATACCAGTTCCAATATTTGAGAAGAATAAACAAGTAATATTAGAAAAGGAAAATAATTATTTTTTAATATCTAGGGATAAGGAATATTTTGCCATGTTTGATAATTTAAATGATTTCGAAGTTGTTGATAATAGCTATCCGTTAGCTAATGAATTAATATCTGAATCAACTATTACTGTAGAAAATTGTGTTTTAAATAAGTTTATGAAACGAAACAGTAATCGTTGTCAAATTAAGTACATACTATATAATGTAAAGATATACATGAAAATAAATGATAACAAATATATGTAGGCCGTAACCAATGAAATAAAATATGAATATGAATGTAAACAAAATAAAATTAAATAAAAAGGATATTTAAAGGGAGTTGGTTATTGTATGGTATTTTGATTTTAATTGTAAGTTCGAAACTGTAGATTATGAAATTATAATATCTGATAACAAAAATGAAACTGTACTTAACGACCTATATTTTGGTTATTCTGATGATTGCTGTTTAAACATAAAGATTAATGAAATAGAAGAAATTGAATTTCTATCTAAACTAAAACCTAGTAATATTAAAAATATTGATGATTTAAGTATTAAAATAAATAATCAGAAAAGTTTTATATCAAAGTCTCTAAATTCTATGAAATTGAATTCCAACTCATATTGGTACGGATTAATATCATTATTTATAACCATAATTATATTATAACCATAATCTAAATTCTATGAAATTGAATTCCAACTCATATTGGTACGGATTAATATTATTATTTATAACCATAATTATGATAATTATTATTGTAAAATGTATAAAAGGAATTTATGTATAAATATATTTAATAACTGTTTTAATGTAAAAAAGGAGTCATCAAATCCCTTGAGGAATAATATTGTTGTATATACTACTAAAAAATCTGATGGCGAAGTGACTGTTGAACAAAATAATTTCAAAAATAAGTACAATTATGAATGGTAAATATATAAATAAATATACTTAATATTGTGTAAATTTATTATAAAACATTTTAAATATAAAATGAATTTGAATCCGATAAGCACATACTGTAAGAAAGAAATTAGTTAAGTTAATCATATAAAAAAAAAAATTTATTATTTATGTTAAACAAAACCTGTATGAAAATGTAAAAATTGTTATATATGTTCTTTAATAAAGTTATTGATTTGGATTCAAGGTTGGGATTGGACATGCCTGTTTGTTGTGATGTGATTTGCTTCTGGAAGTAAAGTCAATTACTATGTCATTGCCTTTCTTTAAGGGTGGAGGTGTTATGTGGATTTATTCCACATATTTGTCAAATTAAGTTTTGTCTTACTTTGTATCAAGACAAAAAAAAGACAAAGCGCAATATCACAGTTTTGTTTATGAATTTATCCTACACACAAAGTAACGCTTCCTGTTTACACTATTTCAAGTGCATTGAAGCTAACTTACTGCTTATGCTGATTCTGCTTTGATCA